GTACGTTGATACCACCTCTGGACGGTAACAAGTGCAGGTGGAAATTCATTAGTATACTAATTTGAAGTAGAGGTTGAATTTGAACATTTTTACACCTCCATGATATTCACCAGAAATGACAGTTCATACATTCTTCCTTCCACTTCGTGACGCAAGCTCATCATTTCCAAAGCAACAACGATTTCCTCGGTTGCCTTGCTGCGCGTAATCTTGAAGATGTTGTCGCCATTGATGTCGATAATCACACGCATAACACTCTTCCACGTTTCAAAGGTCTCTTCCGAGGTTTCGCGAGGTAGGGACGCGAACGCTTCTTCCACTGCTGATATCAACTTGACCAGTGAACGACATTTCATTTGCTGTTGCAGGGCCTGATTTGAGTTGAAAAAGCCAGGTCCAGTACGTTGAGGTCTGATGACTGTGGTGGCTAGCACACAAGTCGGATATCCCGCCCACCATCGGTAGCTTGCTGACCGAACACGCCATCGTCGATGACATTGTGTGGTCGGGCATTGTTTTGCTGCAGTTAGGTGCGCCGGGACCTATCTTCACAAGCCCAAACCCACGACGACTTGACGGCAGGTAGGACCGTGGTGACAAGACAGTCATGATAGATGGGCTTGGTCACTGTAATTGCAGACAAAACGGGAGTACCAGTGGGGCATTTTTTACTTCTTCTGCTTTGGGCAACGGTGGTTTCAATAATCGTCGAGCAACTAACACCTTCCGTCCCAGCCAATCCTTGGTCGAGCAACAACAACAAGTAACGTCACTTTCGTGATGTGCGACTTGGTGCAGTGCTTGTGATGATGTTCGACTTGGTGCAGTGCTTGTGACGGCGCCGTTTCGTCGTGCCACATGAAGAAGCGACGACGAATCTTTGTGATGTACGAACGACATTAGGCGTATCATTGAATTCACGTTGACTAACTTGTGATACGTGCAAAGTGCAAACTCCATGCGCTGCGTCTTGTGCTTTTTTAGTTTTAGCTTCGGCTTCGACCAGCTGGTACGCGGTATGATCCCCGGTTTTGTCGAATGCAGTTCCATATTGTCCACTTCGACAGCCCCGTAGAAGCCGCAGAGACCGATGCGTTTGGCGACGATGCATTAGGGTGGACTTGATTCGCTGCTCGATTTCGTCCGTCGTGTTGTTCTTCCTCCGTCCGGACAAGTGCTTTCTTGACATCACGTTGGCACATGTGCTGGTGAACTTGCTGTCGTTGTCGCGCTTCCAAATGTGCCATTCAGTCGACGAATGGACGCCGAACGCTTTGCAGACTGTCTCCATCTTCTCGCGGGACAGCGTTCCGTTTGTGCTGAATGTGAGCAGCTCGTGCTACAGAGCCATTCTCTTGTCATTGCACAAATTTGACTTGGGATTTTGTATTGGGAGTTGTCATCGCTTAGCTCGTGCAAATGTGTTTATCAAATTGGTCTAAAATTAGCCCTTGAACATCTATGACAACGAACACGCTCTCCACTCATTTTTAGTCCAATCCGACAAGTCCATCACCACGTTTTGTCACAGCCTGCACTTATTAACAACCAGAGGTAGTACTATACAGCAACAACAACTTCACAATGGACATATTATGCATGACGTGGCCTTAAGGCGAAACTTGATCTGTGGGTCAAATACTTTACATGGATGTCGCTCATCATTCCCCACTAATCGTGACTTTCTTGGTTGTTGCCGAAGTTGAAGATGACAACACGTGCCTCGTGTACGTCGAAGTTGGGTCGCGGCAGGGCTTCGTAAAAATATTTTCATCGTGCTCTGGTTGTCGTTGTATACGAGGATGGTCAACTAGATTGGGACATGCGTTCTTCAAGGAGCAAGGAGTGACTGAAGCCATTGAGCTTCTTGCTAACCGTAGGACATGGAGATAAAGTCGGCTTTGGAGGTCGAGAGAGCGACGATGTTTTGAAGTTTGGACTTCCAACTGACTAAAGTAGTTGCACGCGTACTAGGCAAGCATACGTCCAGCAAAGTGAGAATTTCCAACCTGACAGATTCGGTGCACGAGATCCTTAAATGTAGTTGCGGCAACAATACGTCAACTTCACCCGAAATAGTATGCGGCAGTAGGAGGCCAAGGTCGACTATTCTAAGAATCGCTGTGTCCGGTCGACGTTTCTGTATCCGCTCATGTCCTTCTCAGCGCCGAGGCGGGATTGGCTCTGGTGTCGAGTATAGTGATGCTGTGTAATGCGCTCAAAGATCTGCAAAGTGGCATCGATGTATCGATAAGTCCGTACTGATTCAATTTATGAGTGTATTTAACTTCGAATATATGTACAGCAGATGCGATGTAGTCCTCTTTCACGCTATATAACTTCGTAGACACGTGAGTATCGGTTTGGCGGGTCTCACTACAAGAAGGAAGGGGTCGAGAATATGCGTATGGAATGGGCGCGCACCATCTCATCAGAACTGCGTACAGGCCATTTGCCAACTTGACAGTTGAAGCAGGCAAAAGTCCAGTGCTTCGGACGCTGAAGGGCTTGCTCAGCAAAGGTGCGTGTCAACTAGTGGCTCCTCGCCCTCCCGCCTATACAGGGTGCTGAATCGCCAACCTTCGGATATGCTTGGTGGTGTAGCATCCTTGACTGTTTTTTCTGATTTCAACTTGAAGACACCACAAACAGCGCTAGACGCCCTGCTACGAGGGAAGCAACATGCATAACATGCTCAAGGATGTCCGTGACAAGGATATGGCGAGCATCATGAACGCTCTGGACAAGTTCCAAGGAGTCAAGAAAAAATATATAAAAAATAGTTATAAGTTTTGGTTCTACACCTTTTCCCGACCAATGTAAGTACGATTTCCAAGCAAAATGAAATAGATTTTGATGTGTGCTATTATTTAAGATTGAAAAGTTTTCGGACACGAAATTTTCCATTCAAAGCAAAATGATATCCAACCAAAGTGAATTCCTGAATTACTTGCCATACTGCATATCTTCAAGGTGAAGAGCTTTTATCACATTGCGCTGGCAAAATATTGCCTCACGAATCATCAAAGGTTGGGTAATACAATCAAGCGAATCCCTGGCGGCGTCCTCCAAGAGACTCATGCGGGCCTCGAGGTACGTGTCAAAGTCTCGCCGATAAAACATGTCTTCGGTCCGCAGGGCCAAGTAACGCTTGATCACAGCCTTCAAGACGCTGAAACAGGACTCGATAGGATTGAGCATCGGGGAGTACGGGCCAAGCCGAAGCAGCACCATGTCCTCATGTGGTATCGCTCGAGTCTCGGTCTGCGAATGAGCAGGTCGTTGTCCAAAACGATCACAACCTCCTTGCCTTCAAAGTTTTCTTACCAGGATGGTGAACTCGTCACAGCTTGGTACATTTCCTCGACAAAAGCAGCGTTTTTCTCCATTCGAATGCTTCCACGTTCAAGGCGGCTGCAGACGAGACCATCATGGGCGGACACAGCGCACTGAATTTGGAGGTTGGGTCCTTTGGAGGGAGGAAAGGTCACCACAGCTCGTTCTCATTTCTTGACGCGGTCCAAAGAACGCTTGCAGTCCAGGTTGAAATTTGTTTCGTCGTAGTAAACGATGTAATCGGCAATTCTTGGTGTTGAAGCAGCGCGCGGGCAAATGA